CATCCAATTTGCACGAATGGGATTTTTCTTGAACGTGACGCACCCCCCCTCTCCCAACCCTCTTTCCTTCCTTCCTTCCTTCCGCAGTGTACAGGCCCCCCCGTTTCGCCCGTTTCCGCGATTCTTTTGTCACGAAAAAATTGAATTCGAGCTGCAGAGACGTACACCCATACCCACGCGTGCACCCACCCTTTTCCCATTCTCGCTCGCCCTTTTCTCCCTCCCTCTCTCTCTCTCTCTCCGTCCACCATTTCCATCCGCCGTCCGCACCCTCCCGCGTCGTGTCCCCGTCCTTTCTCAACGGCGCTGGCCGTTCAGTTTTTCGGGTTAGCTACAGCTCCATTGTCCGCCAGTTTTTGCACATGCCAACGGCAGAGGTTACACACCCTCCAACCCCCGTTCTCTCTCCTCCTTTCCCCACCACTCCCTCTTTTGGACGGTGTCGGCCGCCCGATAGACCCCGCTCAAAGGACCAAACTGCGAATCTGTCGATAGAAAGAATAGCTTGGCTCGTAATCAGCGCACGGTCCGTTGCATTCCACGCGCATTCCCCTATAAAAATGCAATCTCGTCCTACCCCCTCCCAAGCGGGCTCCAACTATCCCTCGAGTGCTCCGACCGATCGAACCACCCCTCCCCCGCGCGCCTTCCTCCTTCGCGATAGGTATTTGCCGAGTAACGTTTGCGTTTTCATTACGGTTACGGGTGCTGGACAAGTGGCGGTGACGATACGAGGGAGGGAAGGCTCGTTCTTTCTCTTCTTTCTTCCCATCCTCGTGGCCGGTTTCCTCGTGGCACGATGGAATATCGACACGCAGGGACGGCCGAGGAATCCGACTTCCAACGTTCGTTGAATGTTTCCGATGGAACAAGGGTGGGGATACGCTTTCATTCGAGTAACTCGAGTGCTGCCCTCGCGATTTATTTATCGATGGGGTAATTTCGAGCGCATTAAAATGGAGAGATATTTGGCTTTTTTTTTTTTTTTTGCGAGTTTTAATATATGCTCTTTTTCTTTCTTCTCTCGCGATACACAAACGATATATTTATTTCTTTCCTCGTTATTTGTCTATCCATCTTCTCTCCTTTTTTATATCGTTCATTTACGGATCGTGGCTTATGGTTAACGATGATGCGAGCGTCCTACGATTCGTTTAATGTAAACGTAGTTATCTTTATGGATCGTATTCGCTTTTAACGATAAGTTTAACCGATGAAAAAGAATTGTAAAAAGTTGAAAATTATGAAATTATGTTCGGCTCGATATTCTCTATTTTTTTGCAACTGGGATCAACGAAACTCGTCGACACGGACGATCTTAATTGGAGCTAATCGACGGGCCACCTTTTTCACGCCGCTTGATGGCCTTTTTTTTGTACGGTTCACCGAGGATCAATGAGGTTGAACGAAACGAAAAAAATCATCCAATCCCTTTCGTCTAATAATCGACGGAGAATCGTGAAAAACCAGTCTACGATAAAATTTCTCGGCCAAACTTTTTTTTTCCATAATTTGAGAAACGTGTTTTTTCTTTTATTTTTTTTCTTTCTTAATAATCGTGAAGGTTACTATGTTACAGTTTAAGCCGCGATTAAACGAGGATCGATACTTTAACGAGCAATTTGTTATCTTTTACGGTCACAAAGACTGGCACTGTACGGGAGATAATTTCTTATCGTGGAGATAGCGTTAAGTATCGTTAATCCCTCTTTTGAACACGTGCTTCCAATGTGTCTACATAATTCTATTAGAAAAATTCGAATATGCTATCGATAGGCTACCGGATGCATCGGTATAAATTTTAATTTATCGCGATTCCATTTCTTGATCTCGAACTGAACAGCATTCGCTGAAGAGAATTTGTCCGAAAATTGTTTTTCGATCGAGGAGAATATCTTGAAATACGTGCATTTCAACGTTGAGATTTCAAGTATCGCTTTTCTTTATATTTCATATCTCGTATAATTTGCAGTTAGTCACTCGTGCAAACTCGTGTACGTATACGATAAAAATAATACACGCATCACCGATTCTCTGGCAAAGATTAAACTGAGTTTGTAAATCTTGAGAGTGATATTCGAGAAAAAAAAAAAAAGGAAAAGTTAAAAATCCAAAAGATAAGAGGATCGAACTTTTAGAAAAAATTCTCAACGTAACGATCGAAGAGTTCTTCGCGAAATTAAAAGAAAGAAGAAGGGAAAAAAGTAAAAATGGGAGTAGAAAACGGAGTACGCGTGGATGGAGCAGATGGAACGAAGCTGGAAAGGGAAAAGGGGAACAAAAAAGAGGCACTGTCCCACGGCAGCCCAGTTGTCGGCCGGACCAAACAAACAATCTTTATCTCCTTTATGGTCGTCCTTATCTCCGCCAACCGACTCTTCTCTTCGGCTTTCCCGTGGCAGGTTCTGCCTTTTTCTCGCCCTACGTACGTGAACAGATCCTTTGTGTTCCCCGCATACTTTCTCACCGTGTTCGACCAGAGGGAGAGAAAAAAAAAGAAAAGAAAAGAAAGAAGGTTAAAGAAATAAGAAACTCAGAGGGAGGCAACGAAACGGAGGAAAGAAGAGACCTTCGAAAGAGAAGAAAAAGAAGAAGAAGAAGAAGCAAAAGAAGAAGAAGAAGAAGAAGAAGAAGAAGAAGATCGTCCAATGAATCGTCTAGCTCCACGAAAATTTGAATAAATCTCGCTCTGAATATCATTTCGCCGCTTTCCAACAAACTATCCGCCCTTGTTGAAACTGAAAATGCCGGTAGCACCGCCGACTTTACTTTCAATGAACCGCGAAGCTCTTCCACCTCTCCGCCTCTCTCTTCTTTCGCTCTTTCCACCCCATTTTAACGTTCGCGGTAATAAAGTTTGCCGGCAAACGTTTTATTATGAGTCATTCGTGGGAACCTTTGACATTAAGCCTTATGACGCGAGAGACTTGCGTGTCGCGGCGCTTCATCGATCCGCAATTCGTGAGACTTTATTTTATTTTTCTTTTTCTTTTCTGTTAAAATAAAACCCTTTTACCTAAGAATCGTTCAAGATAGTCGCGAAATTATCGCGCGAAACGATAAATTGCAATTATCTTTGATTATTTAATTCGCAGAAAAGAAAATAGAATCCAAAAGATCGTTAAAAAGACGCGAGTCAAATTCGAAATCAAAGAAAATTTACGAAATTATTTTTTAAACATTCATAAGAGTTCTCATTTTTCGTTCTTTTTAAAATTTCCATTATTCCTGAAGAAATTGGAATAAATGTTTGGATCTCGAAGAAAATGTCGAGAGACGGGGAACCGCGGAGGATGGTTCTATGGATGAAAAATCGCGCATGCGAAGGAGACACATGACGCTTTGTGCGCGATCTCTTTGCTTTCCCATCATCCTCCGTGTTTTCGATACCACCACCTGTTACGTAAACACGAGCACACGGAGACACGGCCAATTGATTTACGTCGTAATGGACTACGAGGACGAGTCGCGGCCTTCCGAGAGAGAGAGAGAGAGACAACTCTTTCTACCTGGCAACCGTTCAGCGAATCATCGACTCAAGAGTCGACTTCCGTCTATCTACACTGTGCGCTCGATTATCTCCCACGTATTTCAATCCCACCGACTTTTCTTCCTTCCATCTTCAATTTCTTCCCCCTTTTTACGATTTCCTTATAATTTATCCTTGAAAAAAAAAAAAAAAATAATTTTAAGAAGAATCTTCCCAAACTCTTAAATCCATACTCGAATTCCTCGAATAAGATAGATTCTACCGTGTTAATCTCTCGTTCCCATTTATAGAAACAAGCCAACAAAGAAGAAAAGAAAGTAAAAATCGTATAAGAAAATGTTATCGGCGATTTAAATCGTCGCAGGACGAACACGTTGAACCGTGTGTCGCGACAAGATCCCTACGAATTCAACAGCAACAACAACAGGACCGACGGTTGGGCGCAAAAGTTTACTTTATATTCGAGCGTATATATGTAAATGAGAAACGATCGTTCAGCCGGCGCGGCCGGTTGTAACGTCGCGGCACGAACCGATCGTGGGTGCACGTGTAAAATCGAGCAAGAAAGCACGCGTCCTGTTCTCGTGTTTCTTTCCTAGGAGGGTTCCTTCCTCCTTCCAGCCCCCATGCGGCGCTGTCACGCGATAAACCATGCCCCGATCCCGGTTTACCGATTACCGAGGACCGCCGCCGGACCGAAGCGAACGTTCCTCGAGAATGCGAATCGACATCGATGGACGGAGCGGACCGTTATCGAGCTACGATGCCGCCTGAGAGAGCAAAAGGCGAGGAGCGAAAATCCATTAAAGAAACGCTCGAGATTCGAGTGTCGTTGGAAGAGATAGGCCAGCTAGATTCCTCCGCGGATAGCGATTCGTTAAATCGATCGTGGATGGATATTAGACCCTTATTTGGTAAGTATTACGGATTCTATCGAACAATCTAACGATCGAAGTTCGATTTCCTATTTCCTTCGCGCGACATTCTGCAACATTTTTCGCAACGACCAGATGGGCCAGAGATGGACGATTTTAGGACGCGGAAAAATGAAGAATAATACGCGGTTAAATACGAAATATCGATTATGAAGAAGAGATTGGGAAAGAGTAAAAGAGAGGATATATTTACTATTCGCTTTCGTTCCACTCGTGCAGCGTCGTTGGAGAACAACGGGATGGTTGGATCGCTCGATTAATTATTAACCTTAAGATTAATTTTATGCGCGTTTCATTCGTCTATCCTCCCCTATAATTTTGACAAATTAAAAGGTAAATCGCGGAAGCCGATTACACATCGAATTATTAATCGAGACTCTCGGGGTTAAACCCGATTACTCTCGCGTTCCATAGCTCGGCTTAATTTCTAAAAGCTTCGATTAATAACTCTCAGCAGAGGACATATCGTCGAGTATCATCGAACGACGATTTACTACTCGAAAGTCGGGGTGAAAAAACGGCGCGGAAGAGAACAAGACGAATAAAGAAAAAGAAGGAAAATGGGATACGCTCACCGTTAAGATGCACTTGTGGCTCGGGGAGATGTACTCGAGTCCCCTGTGCCCCTCGCCGCTGAAGCACTTCTGTATATTGGTCATGAACTTCCTTCGGATGGCCTTCAACGAGTACACGCACAACGCCGAATGATTCTTGGGTACGTCGCTGCTCGTGCTGTTGCTCTCCGAAAAAACGGCGAACAGCACGTCGTCCTGGGCGGTGATCCCCAAATCCCCCGCGAGAACCGAGCCGGCCTTGCCCACGTACGCCGCCTGCACCAGATTGTAATACGTGCCGTCGTTGGTGCAGTTGATCGGTATCTCGGTGTACGAATAGTAATGCTCGTCGTCGTGGCAGACCCGCACCAACTTCGATATGAACA